CTCCGTGGCCTGTAGCCCGCAAGCGAACTATACCGATCGAGCGACCGCCGCTTGTTGGGACAGTAAGTGCTAACCTTTGCGGATAGAGGGTGTCACGTGGTCAGAGCAACGGATCCCCACGGCCGTTATTCTGGGTTTTCTAGACCGTAGTAAAGATGATATATGAACACACAACCTCCAGAAGTGTTACTCATCCGACTGCAGCGCTTGGTATTCCGTACGTTTACTCCTTACTTAACTACGCTTCTGTAAATATGTGTAGAAATTACCCAGTGGTTGTTAACCTCTTGAGATGCACTGACCAGCAGAAGAGTCGTGGGGTTTTTCACGCTCTGAGTACATATCAGCATCTATTCACTTACGATAAAGTAGAAGAGCGCTACATTCTGAGACGTGACATTTCGTAGCATCGCACTGTTTCCGTCTCCAGGAACAACGACTAAGCGAAGCATATAACTAGCTAGGAGAAGGCCGCGCCATAGCTCAAGCGGTTAGTCGCTGGCTTCCCACCACGGCGGGCCAGGTTCGATCATGGGTCTGGTCAAGTAGGATTTGTGGTTGACAAAGTGGCTCTGGAGCGCGTTTTCTCCGAGTACTTCGGTTTCCCCTACCAATCTTCATTCCACCAAATTCTCGATCATAATCACCCGGGGTAGGTACCATAGGCCAATCAGTGGCCGCCGTGCCGAGTGGACCCAGCTGGACTGAACCCCCCACTAGCGAATTAAAAAAAAACAGCTAGGCGAAGCAGGATATGCTTGTGTGGTCTATTCTTCTACCCTAAATGTTTAGGCAGGACATTCTACCGGACTGCACTGCGTCAAATCCCAAATATTGCCCTATATGGCCGCTGCTTTAAGAATGTCAGGGCCAGCAAGACTCCATGTTCACCTAATCCCACAATTACAATTGGACATACAATTTTATCATTAAGAGAGGGAGAGTTAAGATTTTACGTGGAATTAAATTACGTATATCGGACGAATAATCCACGACCACTGGTGAAATGATTTTTGAAGGATCTGGGGATAGTAGTACGGCTCGCCTCCCGATTTCTGAGGGATGCAGAGACCGATTCGAGAGCCGGGATAGCTCAGTAGGTATAGCGACTGGCTGGACGGCCGGGGTTCGTTTCCCGGTAAGGCAAGAAATTTTCATCTTCTTCATAACGTCCAGACCTGTCCTGATGTCCATCTAGCCTCCTATCCAATTGGTTCCGGCAGCTGTTTCCCCGAGGGTAAAACAGCTGGGGCGTGAATCTGACCACACACTGCCATCTAGTGCCAAAGTCACGAATGGTGGAGATGTAACGCCATTCCGCATATGTCTCTAATAAGTGATAATTAACATTTAAAGAAGCAGGTATCTTCAAAATTTTACATAAGAATTCAGTCCGTACCTCACAGGAAACACGTTACATCTCCGCTACAAAGCCCAACCGGTTAATGCTGTTCAGGGAAACAGTCGCTGTATATTGTGAGAACCGCTGGGAACACGCAGATACACTCTGTGGGCAGAATGTAGAATTTTGGTGTGTTAGAGAAGGTGGTACATATAGAAACCACTGAGCTTTAAATGGTTAGACACAGCCCGGGGATAAATTTACGTTACAGCAGCAGACCCCGAAACTTTGGCAATCTTACTCGACGCCCGTCACAGAGAAACATGTACAGCGAACAGTGAACCGACCGGCAGCCACCCAAGGCTGTCAAGAAATTCTCCAGCTTCTATGAAGCAGGTTGACATGGTGGTACAAATCTAGGCTCGTACTCAGGAGGTGCTTGGACGAGACATCGGCTATACTGATCGAGAACTTCTCGTGGTTTTCCTACAGGCAAATGCCAAGATATTACCTTCATTATGGCAAAACAGCTTCATTCCAAATCCTATCCACTTAAGCAACCATCCTTTAAGTCAATCTATATAGTCTACATGTTGACGGCTTCGTAAATACGCTAAAATAGTAATCACCACGTTCACAACAGCTCGCCACGCCTTCACGCCGTATTTCCTTAAGATCCATTTTAATATTATCCTCCCATTTACGTGTAAGTCTCGAAAGAGTAAAAATCTTCAGGTTTCCCAACTAAAATTGTGTACGTATTTCTTGTTACGTGTCCTGCCGATCTCATTATCGTTCAAACCCTCACGATAACAAGCTTAATATCTGCTGAAGAGTACAGATACTGAAGCTACTTGTTATGCTGCTTTCTCCAGTCTCCTGTCACTTCGCTCTTACGTCGAGATTTCCTTCTCAGCGCTCCGCTCTCACATATTGTCAACCTATGTGAGCTCTGAGGCTCTCGCAATCTTCTGTCATGTGACGCCGTGTAGTTTCGTAGACAGATAGCAACATTTCGCCTAGCAAGCTGGCTCAGCAGGTAATACTTCTGATTTATGTTCAGGAGGGTCACGGTTCAAATCTCGAATGAGGCGAGAAAATAATATTTAAGGATTATTTTTTCATCATTTCCTCACTTCCTCCAGGCATATGCTGAAATACTATCTCAAAATAGGCCACTACCACTGCCATTAACCAATTAAACAATACGATCGAGCCACTCGACGCTATATAGTCCGAGTTCCCCCCCCCGCCCCCGTGGCACTACAGCCCCAGTGGGCCTAGGCCTACATCCATGAACTTCTCCGTTCACTTCGGTTTTTCAAGATCTTATACATTCGGTAGGACTCCTTGGGCGGATGATCAGCTCGTCGCAAGGCCTCTACCCGTACATAAACACAGAAAAACGCACACACACAAACTTAACAACCATGCCCTGAGTGGGATTCGAACCCACGATCCCGGTTTCCAAGCGAGCGAAGACAGTACATATAGTCCGAGTTATCGGCTTTAAAAACAAAAAACACTTTAATACATATACCAACGCTTCCTAGGAATCTACTGCCTCCTTCTTCTGGGCGAGGTTGCTACATATCTACCAAATTACACGGCATCATATCTCAGAAGAATGTAATGTTAAACTTTAATCTATGTTCTTGATGTTAGGGTGAGAGACCAGGTTCGAAGCCCATGCAAGAACAGGTAGCCTCAGACCTGTATACTCACCGCTTCTGCCGCAAAGCTCACGGGGGAGACAGTCCGGAGTGCGCCAATATTGTGGGAGCGCTGTGGAGAACAGGTTCGCCCCGGCTAATGACTGACACAACGTGAGTGCCACTTTCCGAGACTCAAACATTTATGAGCAATCAAGAAATGGCTGGAGGGGGGGAGGAGATAGCCCCGAGGAGAGCGTTAAGGCGCGGAGGAAGGGATAGGGGGAGTTTTTTACTTTCTCATGTATAAATGACAATGCGCTGTGATCGCGAAACAATTCATCTCGAGATGTTGACAGACCTGCATGTTCTGAGATACGGCTGGGTATCAAAAGTCGTTTTTTGGTTCGTCGTCTCCCTGTCTGTGTATGAGCGTGTGTCTCGCTGGCGCCTGAACGGCTGGGCGGATTTTGGTCATGTGTATCTGAACATTCTAGCTCCGTAAATAGGAGCCCCTAAGAAACAAAACAGCTCTCTTCTCGAAATCAGTTGGCACGATTTTCGGTTGTGTGCAATTAATTCACGTAGATTTTATCCATAATTAAAATTTGCGTATGTTGCATCATCAGGAAATGCATATAGGGTTTTGGTAGGAAAGCCAGAAGGAAAGAGTTCACTAGGAAGACTTAAACGTAGGTGGGGGATAATATTAAGACGGATCTTAGAGAAATGGGATGCTGTGGCATGGACTGGATTCATCTAGCTCAGGATAAGAACCAGTGGAGAGCTCTTGTGAACACGGTAATGAATCTTCGAGTTCCACAAAATGTTGCAATATTCATGAGTAGCTAAGCGACTGGCGGTGTCTCAAGAAGGGCTCAGCTCCATGGAGTTAATTTAGTTAGTTTCATCAAGACAATTATGGTGCGCCCTCTATCGGCCCAATCGCGTACAGGAAGTTCGTGCCATGTCTTTGGGCTGATTGGTTCTGTTTGTCCTCTTCTCTGCAGGTAGAAAGGTCCTGCGGGTGTTTCCTCTTCTCCACAGCATCCAGATCGGTTCTGGGACCCCCTGAGCGTAAAGCAGCCCCATCTCCACCTAGTTTCAAGGTTATTTTTGCATGGGGCTATGCCTCAGCTTCCCCATACGCCGTCATGGCTTTGTGCTCAATGAGGCACGGGGACAAGTTAACGTTTTCTTTCAGATGTCACAGTGTAGTGGCGCTGTAAAGGCGTTAGGACGTGGGCCACCCGTGGTGGACTGGCCACTTGTTTCCACGCAATTAACACACGTTCCTGCACAAAGACCGTCCACTGTTCTGAGTTTAGCAACGGAGGAAAGCTGTTCGGATTAACACACCGAAGTCCTCGGCTTTCAGGGGGGCAAGTGTTCATATTGTTTTCTTCTGGGCTGTGACACCGTGTAGTCTTTTAGGTGGATATCCATGTTTCGGGGGAACATACTCCTTCCATCTTCAGAGTCGACAGTGTGTAGGTTCTGGCTTGGTTATATAGACAGGTTGGAAGAAGGTGGATACTGAAGGTGCACATTGGTGTCTCTTCACCGGAAATGCGGCACAGTGTCCTTGGAAGAGGCCCTCTTTCTCATTGTTTCATCTCCCACCTGCGAAGAAACACCTGTGCGTCTCTTTAACCATATAAACCCCAGTGGTCATCATATGTACCATTTGCTTTAACACACTAAAACTCTGCATTCTGCCCACACAGTGCAGGTACGTGTTCCGTATGGTGCTCACAACAAACAGCTACTGTTTTCCTAAACAGCATTAACAGGTTGTGCTTGGTGGCGGTGACGTAATGTGTTTCCTGTGAGGTACGAGCTGAATTTTTATCCGTTCTCTCGTCAGAGAGGGCTCTTGGAGAGAGAGAGAGAGAAGAAGTGGAGGTCGTAGTGAGAGACACTACATTGGGGGGGGGGTTGAACAAATTTCGCTATAATTCAGCTTTTCCAACATGATATAAAATAATTATATTTATGTACATTACCTCTACCAGAAGGACGAACGGGCACTGTCTGGGGACCTTCAAAACCGGATACATATTTTCTTGCCTCCCTCCTGAAATGCAATGCCACTCACTACTTCATCACTTTCTCTCTCACTCTCTCTTACAGGGCGCCCCACATCGACAAACCCGCAAACTAAGAAAAATCTGGTCTTGGGACCCGAATGGGTTTTGAAGCCAAGACTGACTGGCCGGCTGACCACTGGTCGTAACGTGATTCTGACTCTGACTTCAGTCTTCAAATAGTTGAAGGGACTTTATCCTCCACAGCTCTATCCATGGCTCGGCTCGGGCTCTTTTCCGCACCTCCTCCTGTGGGCGTCGTGCAAAGCAAACAAACCCGTTCCTCACTCGACACACCAGCGGCACCACTTTCCTCCGAAACGTCAGCGTCCGCTTAAAATACTACACGGCGTCGCAACCCAGAGAGCGAAATTCTAAGAAATCTCAACACATTGGAAGACACCGTTCCGAGTGGCTCTGGGGCCCACCCAGTTCTTTCCCCCTCGGTGGTGGTAAAGCGGCTAGGGCGTGAATCTGACCACTCACCTCCATTCCTGCACATGTCTCCATGACGTGGCAGGTGTACCTGTTGCCCTCTAGCTTAGGATAGCGGCTGTTATGTCCGGAGGAGTGTATCCCCTCCTCCACCTTCAACCCCACAACACAAAGCACAAGTAATGTAATAGGAACAAATTCAACGTTTGTTTTATGAATGACCGTCTCTGTGGTCCTGGCAATAGATTCAGAGGTCCCGGGTTCGATTTCCGGCGCTACCAGATTTTCTGAGAAGTAGTGGCACAGTACAGATATTTGGAAACGACGATAACAAATCAAAACCGGATTCTGAAGGAAATTAAGAGGCGATTGAACTCGGGTAATGCTTGCTACCATTCAGTCTAGATCTTTTGTCTCCTCGTCTACTGTCCCAAAACATAAAAATTAGAATATACAAAACTAAAATTTTGCCGGTGGTTCTGTATGGGTGTGAAACTTGGTCTCTGACATTAAGGGAGGAACATAGACTGAGGGTTTTTGAGAACAGGTTGTTGAGAATATTTGGACCGAAGAGAGATGAAGTGACAGGAGGTTGGAGAAAACTGCATAATGAGGAGCTTCATAACTTGTACTCTTCTCCAAGTATAATTAGAATGATCAAGTTAAGGAGGATGAGGTGGGCAGGGTATGTAGCACGAATGGGGGAGAAAAGGAATGCATGTATGATATTGGTGGGAAAGCCAGAAGGAAAGAGACCACTGGGAAGACCAAGGCGTAGGTGGGTGGACAATATTAAAATGGATCTTAGAGAGATAGGATGGGATGTTATGGATTGGATTAATCTGGCTCAGGATAGGGAGGGCTCTTGTGAACACGGTAATGAACCCTCGGGTTCCATAAAATGCTGGGAAATTCTTGAGTAGCTGCAGATTTGGCTTCTCCTCAAGAAGGGCTCAGCTTCATAAATAAGTAAGTGGGTCTGGAACGGGGTCCACTCAGCCTCATGAGGATAATTGAGGAGCTATTTCAAGAAAATAGCGGCTCCGGTCTAGAAAACCGAGATTAACGGTCGTTGGGATTCGTTGCGCTGACCACGCTACATCCTCTGTCCGTTAACGTTGGCACTAACGTCGCCGACAAGCGGCGGTCGCTCGGTCGGTATAGTTCGCTTCCGGACTAAAACCACGGAGCTTTTATTTTTTGTTTAGTTGTTATATTAATTTCTAAATGTACGTTGTTTGATTTATTTTTATATCGAATGTGTGTTTTAATCTATCAATAACTATCTCTAAAGACATGAAATTAGTGTTTTGCTTATTTTTGCCTCCATTTTGTTAGAAGCTTCAGTGCACGAAATGGCTGCCCAACAACCTAACTGCTGCTTATAACACTGCGTTTAGGATGGCTGTCCAGAAAGTAATTATGTCGATTGTGTGGGGGCAGTTTAGGGCCCTGACTTTTGTGACATAGCCTCATGAAGATAAGGCGTAATCTTGTGCTCAGATCTGACTGACAGAGACCTTGTATATACTGTATGACAGGCCTATTGTTGGGCATAAATATTGTTGTTATCACGTACTGCGCACGTCTAAAGCCGCCCCCATAACAGTGGCAGCGCAGTCTGACGCCTGAAATATATTCGCCCGTTCACACACTGGGATCGTGGGTTTGAATCCCACTCGAGGCAATGGATGTCTGTCCGCGTTCCTTCTATTTGTATTGTCCTGTGTGTAGGCAGCGGTCTTGCGACAAGGCTGATCCCCCATCCAAGGAATCTGCCAACTGATTAAAAGATCCATAGTTCCAGAGTAAGTTTGATGGAAAACGGGTCAGAGGGACAAATACGAAATGTAGGAGATGAAGATGTAAAACTGGGGATTTCTGTGTTTTTGGATCGTGTACATCGTCCAGGTTTCTAAAGAACACGTTTCGGAAACTGGATCTGCTTCCGTCCTCAGGTGAGGGGTAAGCGGCCTCCGTAACGTTCCCACCTCATGACTCAAGGTAAGCGGGTTCAAACCCGGCGGAGGTCATGGAATTTTTAAGGGCGGAAAAATTCAGGGAACAAGTCCTTCGGGAGGGACTTTAAGCCGTGGGTCCCGTGTCGTAGATTTACGGCAGGTAAAAGATCCTCATGTCTCTAGGAGACCTCTGAGCAAAATTAGGCAAGTTTCCCGCCCAAGTAGTTTCCAATTCCTCTGGTAGATGGGGGAAGTATCGAGGTACCAAGGGCCGACCTCGTTGGCTGAACGGGGCTGATAGCACGCACCAGTACCGGTAGGGTATGGCGACTGGTAGAATATGAAAGGGGGACGTACAATAGACTATTAGTCGCGGTGCATGGGGAAACCCGCCCCTCCAATAATAATAATAATAGCAATAATAACAATAATAATAATAGGTGAGGGTTTGGGAGGCTCCTATACTGCTGGATCGGTTAATATCAGTCACTGGACACCAGACTTCATTGTCACAACCCTTCAGAATCTACACGTATATGTGAAATTGCTGAGAGTCTCTACTCTTGCGGACATTTGCTTTTATCGACAGATTTCATAACAAAATTCCTATTTCACATAAGCGGAATGACCTAGGGGCTGAGCTCATGAACAACCAACAAGTAGTTCTGGGAAGAACTAATGGTTCCTTTGATACAACACAGACCCTATCGAAAAAGATAAAACTTTTGCTTCTATTCGTGTATTCGTTGCCGCGGGAACGTGTTTACAGAGCCATTACCTAGGAGTGAAAGGAGTTTTACACTTTACCGAACCTCTGCCTAGCAATGACAAAAGGGATACACACACAGACTGATGGGAGGGATTTATGAAGTATGCTGTTGAGATGGTTTCAGGTGCCATGATATGCATACGAGTAACAAGTTTCATAAAGACTGGTTCGGTCATTCGAAAGTTAATTAGGGTTGGGGGATACACAGACAGCATGTAGATCGTATAAGCCTATTTTTATTCTCCGAAATTAAGGAAAGCACGTTACAAATGACAAAAAATACACCAATTCTGGTTACTTGAAACGGAACATACGCTGTGACCACTATAGGCCCTAATATGCTTTGTTATTTCAGCCCTTTTTTCCATTGTCATGAGCTTCCAAGAGCGGCTTTTGGTTGAAGTTTGTTTCTGCTTCCCGATACTGTCAACATCGAGATTATACAGGGTGTTTCTTGAAAAGTCTCGCCAAATTTTGGGAGCGTTTGCTCAGAAACGATTTCGGTTCAAGTTATAGCCCTCCAAATCTACAAATCGGATGAAGTGTTCGAAGTGGTCTACTGTACAACAACACAAGCCTCACAGCTTCCATTCCGAAACCTCGGACACACTACCTCAATGTAGCTGTAACGTAATATTATACAATTCTATCCCGGCGGCGCCTAGTTTGAATGTAGGCAAGGGATACTGACTCTCCATATTTAAACTTTTCTTGGTTTTTTATCAAACTCTCCTGGCTTATGTTGCGATAACATAAGGGTTTACTGTCTCCTTCCGAATCCTACATGGTCAACATTCACGATCGCCTTTCCCATCTCATTAAACGGCAGGTAAATTTTGCGTTTGAATCGCCATAGTTAAACAGCATAAAGATAATTTAATTCATAACCACGCGTTTGGTACGATGCAGAATAGCAGACGTTCTTTGGTTTTATACATTTATTTTAACTATCAAATAAGTAACTAATTTTATTTATTATTATGGTTCTACAGCCCTTTGTTGGGCCTTTGTCGCTTTTCAGTTTCTTGATCTTATACACAGTCGGTAGGACTATTTGGACGGGGGATCAGCCCGTCGCAAGGATGCTACCTATGCACAGGACAACACAAACACAGAATAAAGGACGCAGATATCAATGCCTTGAGTGGGATTCGAACCCACGATCCCAGCGTTCGAGCGACCGAAGACAGCTCTTGCCTTAGACCGCGCGGTCGGCCAATGTGGGCGTCGGACTTGAGGATGAGCATAATGAATAATGAACGTCTTCTGCAATATGGCATTGAGGGCCTGGAGTGTCGGACAGAGTTCATTTGCCAAATGGAGTGGGCCTCTAAATTGCACGAACAGTTTTTGAAACTGTGACGTCGGGAGTTCAGACGGCTGAACAGCGAAACTTTCTGTTTACCCCGTAGCGTAGTTGATTGAGGCACTATGCTACAAGCCAGAAGGTCTCAGGTTCGATTCCCGATGAGGTCAATGGATTTTTCAATTGACCTAATCCTTCCAACCGTGCTATGGCACTAGGTTCGACTCAGCCTCCAAGAGAAATGAGCACCAGGAATCTTCCTGGGGGGTAAAGGGCGGCCGGCGCGTAAGGCTGGCAACCTCACAGCCATCTATGGGCCGCGTGTCTACAGAAAATGTGGGATGCTCGACGTCTCACAACCCTATGGGCCTTCGCGGCCTGTTACAGGGATAGAGGCTGTGATGTAGGAAGGAACTGTGTGTGACTCCTATGCTGTATGCAATCTGTTTCCGTATAAACACGCGAACGCCTTTTCATGTGGGTGCAGCAGGTGGAACAGGAATTTCTTACATAATTATT